AAATTCTTTCTACAACCATTGAGCCTTAGAAGGCAATTCATCCCATCCTCAAACTGGTGTCTAAAATAGACGGCACTGTCTTTCTTCATTGATTAATAAAGAGGCATAGATAGCTGACTTAGACTGGACATCTAGATTTTGATGTCTTAAGAGAGGAGACCTACCCCTATGAGTGTACAATTCAATATCAACCCAATGCAGGCTGAAAACAATTTCAAAAACCTCCAGCAGAAGTTAGTCTTCCTTTAGCTGAAGCTGGATTTTTTAATGTATTTGGTAGTTTCATATAAATGCAAAAACATGGAAACTTTACACAAGCTTCCCACACTCCACCACACGCAAATACCAAATGGCTCTGCTCACTGAGAGATGGGAATGGAAGTAACAGATGGAGGTTTGCCTAGACTTTAAAGCTGCTTATCCCTAGTAAAGACCTACTAGGCAATGGTCTCAGGAAACAAGTCATGATTTTGGGACACAGGGATGTCAGCTCCACTCCTGCTTCTGCTGCTGACTTCCTGAATGGCCTTGGGCAAACTGCTCCACCATCTGTTTCTTCACTCTGCTTTTGTCTGTGCATGGCGTGACTATAGGGCATTTTACAGCCAGATGCAAGCAAGCTCTCTCCATGCCATAACCAAAAGCAGCATGACCAAGGTAGTGTGGTGCCAAGCCAGGGCCTAAATATCTAGCACCTAGAAAAGGCTCTTCAGCTCCACCTCCGTGCTTTGTTACCAGCAGTAACATATCTTCTGCTTAGCTCATGGCAAAAGCAGAGCATAGGTCTTTGCAGACATATCCATAGCGTTAAGCGCCTTCCAGCAGGAGTCCTGTCTCTTCTTATGTGTATGTAGAGCAGACAGCATAAAGACTCTGGAAAAGGATCTGCCCTAGAGATTAAGAGCACTCATTGCACTTGTGACTCCGCTGATCTGTGTAGCCACCTGGTTCACAGACCCACAGGGCAAGAGTGGATGTTCAGTTAGAATGATGGCATTTCTAATTAAGCCTTCACTTCCTGTAAAGAGAAGGAGATAAGAGAAGATTAACTATGGAGATCAAAGTTAAATTGCAAATATAAAGGGAAAGTGTGTGTGTGTGTGTGTGTGTGTGTGTGTGTGTGTGTTTACACAACATACTTAACCCAATTTCCTTATGTGATGAAACAAGAGGCTTCCTTTCCCCTTTCTTTCCTTCTCGCTCTGCTTTCACTTGAGAATTTTGGTTCAGTCACAAGAGATGCAACCATTTTGTCTCCGAAATTAGTAAGTTCAGTTACTTACTCCCCAGGAGGAAAGAGTCCCAGAGATACTGGAATGTAAAGCACTGCTACAAAAAGATACTTAGTACACAGGAATCTTGTGCTTCTCGGCTATTTTTTCAGCTAGCTGGAAATACTTACAAGGAACCAGCTCAACTTAAAATCCACTAAGTATAGCAGAGTAGCAGACCATTTACCAGCAAAAAAATGGCATATTTGCACAGAAGGGCCTCATCTGACGTACTATTCTTATGCCACACTTCAGGCTTGCAGCCTTCCAACAAAGCTTCAAACATTCAGAGGAGGGTCAAATGGACGCTTCTGGGAAATATTCACAAGTGTGACAAAACCTGAGCTTTAAAAGGTCAGTTTAGAGAAGCTGTTAAAAGACATATCTCTAAAACTTCCTATGAAGACTGGTGCTCTAAAGCTCTTTCCAGCAGGGCACATTCAATTACCCTGTCCCATAAAGTAGATATCTACAAGTGTGAGCTTCCAGCAACAAGTTTCTACTTCATACATGAAGAGCACTTTTTATGTTAGAAATCTGGTCTGATTTTCTAGCTCTTGCAAATGAGAAAAAATCTCCTTACTGACCTGCCTCAGGCTCCTACTTCTGGGGCTTCACACAGTTAGGGCATAACTGAAATGCCAACGTAGGTTCCTATGGTATATGGTATGCCATAACATGGTAGTTGATCTGACAGACACTGTAACTGAATTAGGAGATTGTAGAGAAAAGGGTAAGAGTTTCTGCAGTTTGAAAAAAAAGCTTGAGGGAATGTTTGAAAGCCCATCCCTGGAGTCTGCTACAAAATGAATTCAGTTCTGGCCTACTCCCCCACCCCCCCCCAATGAATATTTGTTCTTCCCAAACGGTGTTTATTTAATAACTGGGCCAGTAAAAATAAGTATAGGCTACAGCTTGACCTAAGACTCCATGCTGACAGATGTATTAAGCATATGATATTAAATTTACTGTCATTTGTCTATTGAGCGAATTATGACTTTGCTTGTTCTTTCCCTTGGAAATGCCTGCAGAGGAAGCACAGGAAAGGAAGACCCTTATAAAAACCAAGTACTCTTCCCAGGAACATCTCTTCTATTGCATTTGTCGAAGACAGTCTAGGAAAAGTATGGAGTCTGATTCTCTTCCTTCGAAGACTCAGCCCTCTCCTTTCCGCCCCAGGACCGACGTGCTATATCTATACCTAAACTGTGGGGTCCAGTAATACTTGCTGGGTACACCCTGAGTATAGGCAGCCAAGACAGACTCCTGCAAGTTCCTGCATTTGAAAAGTGAGAGGCTTGCAGCCCAGCAGGCTGGGTAAACCGTAGAGAGCATACATGTGAAGTTCAGCCCACCCATCGATTTTCTGAGGCTTTGAGGTCTGACCTTGACAGCACAAGGCCTCCTCCAGGGAGCCCTGGCCTTGGGTCTCCCACCAGGCACCCCAGTTGCCTGTACAACAAATAGCTGAGGTTCTCCCAACTTTATATAGACTCAGAATTTTTCTTCCCGGGAGGTTTCTCAACAGAGCAGGGGAGCAGTGCCTCCCCCAACCCCACAATCATAGCTGCACAAGCTGAAGGCGAGGAAGGAACAGCAGAACATCAGACCTGCTTTTCTGTATCACACACACATTTCGTCTCATGAGCCTGGGCAGTCACGTTTGACCAACCCATACCATAGCTGGAGGTGAGATACTATAGGTGAAATAAATGAGAGAAACTGTGGGCAAGTCTACTCTGAAGTCTGGAGGGGTGGGAAAGCACAGCCAAGCAAACTTTAATCCTGCTACCCCAGTTACAAGAGACACTGAAGGCACAGCAGCACAAGCCCAGTGATGCTGTGACTTCATCGCTATCACTAACCAAGCTAGCAAGGTTAAAGCAAAGTTCATCAACATCAGAATCCTATTCATGGTCCACCACTCTTTCGGCATGAATCCCCACATGGAGAAAGAGCCCTTTGAAGAGACTAGGGGATAGTAGTAGGATATTACTCCTCTCCTCTACCGCTGCTTGACTTCTAGAGGGGGAGATTTGTTGCAGGCTCCTAGTTAGTGAGCAAGGCCATGACAAGTACCACCCCACTTTGGGGCAGGTCTTCCTTTCTATACAAGGGGCTGAAAAGGCTTTGCGTCAGGGAGAGCAAAGAGTCCTGGTGAACAGATAAGTCCTCAGACCAAAATAACACCTAACCAGCTGCCACCTACACGTGAGCTGAGCCCTGCATCCCTGCTTGCATCTAGCTGACCGGGTGGTGTTTCATCTTTTGGTGCGGCTGATGGAATGCTCTGGCTGACTTTTCATATAGGAACTGTAGAAAGAGGCCCGAGGCTAACAAAGTGTTGAGCTGAGATATCATTTAGAGCTATCAACTCTATCCCCTGTGGTCAGGATTTGTCTCCTTTTGCATCTGGTCTTACAGCTTCTCGAGTACTAGAGTTTTCTAGAAAACAAAAGACTTCAGAAAAGTCTGATGAGCTTAATCGTTAGGCCTCTCCAGTCCTTCCCCTTTAAAACTCTAGGTTGCTGTGGTGACTGAAATAGTTGTCACTGCTTGGATAAACCAGCATTACAAAAAATCTATAGTCTTGTAAGAGTTAAACTTATGAGATATAGATATATGACATAAAAGTATCTGTGTCACTTTTGTAGGGGTGCTCACACTTTCTGCAAAAGGAAAAAAAAACTTTGCAAAATTTTCACCCCTCTCCCACCATTTCCTGTCAAAACTTTTCTCTGGTAAAAAAATGGGTTATCATCCACACAGCTTTACTCTTGCAAAGTCTACTTGCCAGCAATTAAATTTCATACAAAGAGAGATGAATATTATTTAGTGTTCCATTAAGGATCTGGGATTTCACAGCCTTCAGGCCAACACTTCCACACAGCGTAAATTTGTTTGGAAAATAAGTCCATCTTTTGTTTGAAGTAGTTAATTACCTTGATAGAGGAACCAAATGAAATAAAAGATTTATGGATCCCTATTTCTCATAGTGAGGGAGAAAGTGATCTGTTTGCAGGAGTTATATTTTCAGGCACTTTGCTGAGACACCCCAACCCCCCTCGGTTGCTGACTGTAAAATAAGAAAACTATTACCCAGCTGGGGTAACAATAGGCTCCCACAGTGCTTTTCTGCTCAGCCCGCAGCTGCCAGTGAAAGTGGAAACTACAGCAGCAGGATAACATTCTTTTCTTACAGCCTGTTTCTATGGGCAAGGAGCCCTCCCACTGATTCAATGTATTTTCTATGCAAAACTGTAGAAGAAGTGACATTTTAAAAGTTTTGACCTTTGTTTTTTTTTCTTCCCCCCTCCCTTTTTTTTTGCATGAACCGAGGCATACATTTTTTAAAACCTTCTGACAGGGTGCGTGTTAGGAACAGCAATAGCCATTACTACAATAATAAAGTGTTTCAAAATTTGAAAATTCTATATTGAATGTAACATACTGGTAACCTTTGTGCAGAAAATGATAGTGATGAGACATACAGAACTCTTTTGGTTATTGTCACAGGCAAACAGATGATTGTAGTAGATCGCAAGCATCTTTGCAAAATAGCGCCTTTGAATGCCACAGTTTCATTTGCTAATTTCACATTTTTAAAGCTAAATTTTGAAAATATCACATTTTGCAGGTAAAGATTTTTTCCATTGCTCTGCAAGGAAAATGAAATATTAGCCAATTTTATTGAAATTGACTTTTTATTTACAGAGTGTTTATAGGCGAAAAAGCAGTGAACAGAATAATACTAGTGAACACTAATGAGCTAGCTACATATACATGTATCCAAATTATATTGATTTAATTTGATAGGAAATTGGCATAGTTTCCAATTAGATTACAAGTACAACAAAAAAATTACCCTTCTGGTTAACTCATAAAATAACACACTAAGTCTTGGGAAATGATAAAGGATGTTAAAAATGTAAAACATGTTTTCCTAAGCACAAGCAAAATAAATGAAAGCTGTTCAAGCAAGACGGGGAGGGGGAAGGGAAGCACATGAATCATTAAAGTGCATACAGAACAGATTCCAAAAACAAGCCTGGCAGGTTAATCCATGAGAGTCTTTCACTCACTACCAACTCCCTTTGCTAGCTACTACCACTGGCTATCACCAGCTTACCCTTACATTCACCAAGGGCACTTGCCCTGCTGTGGGTCCATCTATATATCTATCTCTCTGAGTCTGACCTCACATTCTTTACATACTCCACTCTCTCCCCCCCCGCCCCCCACTGAATCCAATGGAAATTTGATTAATGCAAATGATGACAAATAGGCCCAAAGGATAGTAACAGCAATGTTCTGAAATAAGCAAGTTTGAAAGCTGTTTTCAAATTTAGTAAGATTTAGAAGACAAAGCAGAACATTCCTGTATTTTAAACTGGTAGCCCCACTGGTGAATTGACAAAGACCTACAAACACATCTTGGTAACCTGATTCCTCCATCAGAATAAGATAAAATCATCTCTCGCTCTACAACGCACACAGTGTAACCAAATCCATCATTAGCAAACTACATCAAGCTATCATTCATCATTAGGCAACAATCCACTATAAATTACAATAGGACCATTAAAAGATCACCAAACCCAACAAAAAAACAAAAGTCAAAAAACTTCTCCCAGGAGGGTCTATATCAAGACAGAAAGTTCTTTCAAGTCGCTCTGATCTGTGCCTGAGACACTATAACCTCTCAGAACACCTTTCAGATTTCACATCCTGCGCATGACATCCTGAGGTAAACAGAGTGAAGAAAGTCCTAGTTTCTACCTGAACTGTCTGATTTTTTTGTTCCCCTTGGCTGAACAGCTCCTATAGATCTTCAAAATCAAGTTTCTCTTTCCAGTCTGTAGATCAACAGATTAAAAAAAATTCAGAAATGTTTTCATTGCAAGCTGACCAGCTATGACCAAAGAAACAGTAACAGTTCTGGTGAGGCCGCCAGGGTATTTGTACCTTTTCTGAGTGCTCCATGTGGTTTACGTCACTGGGCTCTGAAGGCCAGTGAGTCATACAGCTATTAGCTGGACACCGCACCCGATGAGGGCAAGACTGGTCTTCACATTGGCTTCAGTGCAGGTGTGATCAGGTCAAATCACATTCTGATTCTGAAAGTGCATCTCTCATCATCTGCTGCATTAATAGTTATTTACATGTTATTTCCTGGTTTCTTTACTATAATATGTGAATGCAGACAGAAGAATTGTAAAGGATTTTTAGGCCCATAGTGCTTTCATTATTCAGGATAATGTGCTATACAAGGGAGTCAGCTATTTGGGATAAATAGCATATCCTTATTTGTCCAAAATTGCCAAATGTCTGGCATGAGTCATGCCAAACAGGCAGCTGCTTAGCAGGAGTATAGTACTGGCATACTAAAAAGCAGAAGGTATTGAAGGGGGGGGGCAAAGAAAGTTAAAGGTAGTACCAAGCTACAGTGACAGAAAATTTGTAGGGTCAGTAATACACAGCTATCACACTCATTAAAACCTTCAGACAATGCCATCGTAAAAGTCAGCATTTGCCTACAGTTTGCACATAACAGTATCCAAGCTATCACTGGTCTCATCAGCGCTTACAATGATAAGTACTTTAAATGATAGATAAGTATCTTAGATGCTACTGCGTGGGAACTGCTGACAGCTATTACTTCTGCAATGCACATATAACAAGGGTGGTATTGCTGCCAGAGAAACACACTGGACACGGACAGAATGTATTATTTTGATATTAGATTTGAAAAGAAAGTCTTTAGAAACAATCCCTTTAGTAAGGGTGCCGCTGTGCCATTTGTATAGCACGCAGCATTTCCTCAATAGTCTGAGGTAACTTCCTGGGAACTATTCAGATTTACAAGGAAAAGGACTGATGTTGCAGGATTGAATGTTGCAGGCAAGAATAAATTTCCAGGTGAGTAAAGGTGTCCATGTCCTTGGCTGGCTGCTGGGTCAAATTGTGCACACACTGTTGGCTTTTAAGCACTGCACATGCCCATAGTTTGCAGAGCCACCATTCTTCCATTCTGAGTTCCAAAGTCCATTTCTCTCACAGCACTTCGTGAATACCTGTGAAGTAGGTAATAAACCTTATTTCACAGATAGAGAAACTGAAGCCATAACATTTGTGCCAAGTCCAACACCACAAAGGAAGTACACTGCAAAGTTTTGAATAAAATCAACTACTGAGAAACAGTCTTATACTACACGAGTATCCTTCATCACAGTTATTGCAGTGCAAGCTCAGCAGATGTCATTCCAAATTCAGTATCTTAGCTATCTACATTTATTTTAAAATAAAAAGAAAACAGTCCCTCGCATGTAGTAAACTGCTTGCCAAACTTAGGAATTTTTAGCTTACACTATCTTTAGCACATTTAAGTGCCAAAAAAATAAAAAATAAAACTGGGTAAATGTGTAGTTAGTCATGCTTGTAAAAATGTCAAAGCTGTCAAAAATATTTGTGTGAAATTCATAAACAAAATCTGCTGCCATGAGAAGTTATTTGGTTCTTAATTATGGCACCAAATGACTTCTTTTTCATGAAGAATTAAAAAAAGAGAGCTACCACTGTGATGGAAATATTGGCACAGCCTTAACTCAGCTGCTTCCCTGGGGTAATAAAGTTGCTCCCGGAAAGAAGAGGATTATAATCTTTGCAGAGTACCTTAAAAAAATCCAGTTAGGAGGCCAGGCTGTCTTAGCATGTTCCTAATAGGATGTAGAATCCTGCACCCCTAAGTATGTTTGGAAGGGTTCAGGTACTTAAGGATGAGAGAGGGTTTGTTAGTCCTTTAATTGGTGTTTTTGAGTGGATTTCTTGAACTGCAACTTTCAGATTTGCACATTTGCTTATGGAGGCTGGATAAGCGTATTTTATAACCTGAAAAAATAAACAAAAGCAATAGGTCACCAGCCCAAATCATGCAGGTCAGTGGAGAGGAATATCTACAGCTATCATACAGTTTGTGTTCACTGACCTGTGGGAACAGTTGGTGGTCCCCCTCCATTTCTGAAGGACAGATGTCCACACCAGCACACTACCACAGGTGGCAACGCTGTGGTTGGCAAACCCCACGGACGTGGCCCAGGAATGAACCCCCACAGAGGGAGTTCACTGGGGCCAGGTACACTGGCAGGGCCTTTGGAGAAATTGTCCTGTCTTCTCCTTCTCTTCTTTGCATCTTTGTAAAAACAGACGCACTCTTACACTTACACTTGTACCTAATCTGGCAACCTTCACTGGTAGTAAAAATTCACAGGAAGTGGAAGTGAGCGTTCAATGGTATGGCCTTTCGGGCACTTGTGTTAAATGGGTTGTCAAACACCAGATGACTGCTGGCAGTCATCTTCTCAGAACAGAATTATGTATGTTTGTGCATGGTTGTAAAGTATAGGGCTCACTAAATTCGTGTCAAAATAGACAGAGAACAAAGGTATTTATTTCTCTTACCCTGAATTGCAAAGGCAACTTGTTGAAATTAGTGACCAGCTATAATTATATGGTCCCATTCAGCAGCGTTCAGATTTCCCAAGAGTCTGCAGCAACAGCACTGAAAAGTCTGTCACAACACAGTACAAAACAAGTTACTAGTAAGAAGTAAATTCTGAAAAGGGCTACAGAATCTGAAGCAGTATTTCCTGTTGTGCTCTGGTTTCAAAGCCAGTTAGAGAAATTGTTTCCCATGCCTTAATTTCCCCTGGAGTTCAGTACCAACGTGTTATACTGCAAACCTAAAAGATTTTTTGAAACAGAACTAAGATTCATAAAATTCATCTTTTATTATTCTATTTCGTGTCTCTCTCTTGTTATCTTCTCTCCTCATAGAATTACAGATTACTGCTTGAAAAAGGTAAGGAAAAACAATATCATATTAATAGATTTATTCATGGGGGTTTACATTATCCTATTATATAATTGAAAACATTGTTATGAAATCAAGATGCAATCAAAAACTCAAGAGAAAGGTAACATTTTTCATGGCATGAAAGGGACAAAACCCTCAGCAGAAAAATGTGACATTAAATGAACAAAGGCCATGTTATGCTGGCTCGTTTCAATCACATCTACCTCCATTCCTCCAAAGGACTCTGCTGAGAGAGTCTTGATGCCTCCTTCTTGCTATTGCCATGTATGCAAGTTTTTCCTGGGAGGGAAAAAAAGGTGAGGGTCTCTTGTGTACTGTCCTCAATGCTTACTCTTCATCAGACATAGGAATTCCTCAAATACCTCTTGTTTCCCAAAAAAAGAGGTAAAACAGCAGGTGGATAAGTTTGTGCCATCAGTTTCTGGTTTGTCTTGAAAAAAAGGACATTGTTTTAATCTTAAATAAGAGCAGGTATGTCAGTCCTCTGTTGCAGCGTTCAGGAAATGTGAGGATTAAGGAGAAAGCAGGTGAGGAACAAATAGATTAAAGATAGTCTTCTAAGCAGGAGAAAAAAATATTGCCTGGACACATTTAAATGCTAAGTGATAGAAGCAGCAAACTGTGGCCTGCCATGCACAAAGGGCAGCAGGAAAATGCAAGGTGCCTTCTGTCTTTGCTGCACTGGTTATCCTTAGATGGGGAGAGAGAGGTATCGAAAGCACTGCCTGCCGGTGAGGACATTCCTCCCGCCAGTGGCTCTGCCAATCCTCTGTACTCCTCTGAGCTCACCAGGAGGCTGCACTGTCGTCGGGCCAGCACAAGAAAAGCCCCCTCTGGAGTAAGGCAGTAAAACTACCATTCTCTGACATACCGTTTACTTCCTGGTCTGTTCCTAGGACAGTGCCACAACACGCTGGCGAAGACTCGTACAAGGGAGTTCCAAAAGGCATCAGAATTATTTGTTTCTCCTGGGATACGGACTTAGTCAGTGCCATCTACTTCTAAGATTCCTTGAGCACAAAAGCAAGCAAAGTAGTTTCCTTTAGACAACAAGCAGTGAGAACTTTGGCTTCATCATCAAAATTTAACCTAAATGTGATAAACTGTCAAGGTTCTTTTCCTGCAGACAGGCTCTTGCCTCTTTGTCCTCAGATTGTTAAGAATCTGAAGAGGGAAGCTGACCTTCTTAGCTCTCTGGGATGTCACTTAATATTACAGCACTTTCCTCCTCCTGTTAATTTCTTTGGAGTCCAGAAAACCTCCGATTTCCCTGTCCTACTCCTTTACTGTTAATATTTCAGGGTCCAGAAGCTGGGTCCTCTCTCCTGGACCTGAGCACAAGGCAATGTCACAAAACCAGAGTTACACTTCGTTCACACTGATGTAAAGGAAAACGGGAGAGAGCATGATGTGGAAATATTTCCTGACGGCAAGAGTCGTAGCCAGCCCACTAGCCCATCCAGTATCCTGATGAGCCCACACGCATGTCTAGGAGTAAAGTTCTTGCTGTCATCTTGTCCCATTCTTATATTGCTGTCTCACTTCCAGGCTGGATATTAGAATGGGTGTCTGCAGACACCTTCAGCCATCTGTAGCCACTTGAAAATCAGGTAGAAGACCCCCATGATCAACCTCAATCCTAACTCTCTTCTTCCAGTGCGCTCCTGTGTTACTGGTAAATGCAGATGTCTGCCCCTTTCCTGTGCGAGACAACAGTACTTAAATCTGCACTTGGCTCTGTAACCGTCTAGGTAGATATAGAGCTACCTACCTGGAGTGCAAACAGAGCCATCCTTGTTTTTTATCAGGAGTGCAAAGTGATAATACTGCTGTTTCACTGCTAGAAAGTGCCAGTATCTACTTCCAGGGCAGGCTAAGTTTGAATGAACTCTAAGCAGAGGAATGAACATCTAAAATTAAAATGCTACCATTGTGTGACGGTGTTATAGCGCCTGCATCTCTGGTTTGCAGCATCACTGCTCTTTTCACCAGTTAGTTTACTAGTTTCAGTTTACCTAAAGCACTGTAATGTCAAACATCTACAAAATTTAGACCCCTGCAATGAACAGAACTGTCTTAGGCGCGTCTTAAATGCGAGTCATGTGACCTGCACAGCTATCTACCTTAGTACGAGCCAAAATCACTCTTGGGAAGTGCTTGCACCTTTTGGTTGACTATAATAGGGAGGAAGGAGAGGTGGACTAGTTCAGATGTCTGCAGTATAGATGTCTTAATTTCAGTCATTCATACCTATATCCGAGTCACTCAATTCCACCACAAGTCTCCTGATGTTGTCAAGGGTTCCCACAAAAAATATATCCTTCACAAATGGCGCAAGCATGAAAGGCAAAACAGTGAGTGAGGGGTGTGCAAATTTTTCACAGTCATAGGTTTAAGCTCACTTCTGTAACAGTTTAGGATGAAAAGCAATCTCCGACCAAAATGCAGAGGTTGCTTGTTTGGCATAGATTTCCCCCAGTAAGTAACAGATAGAAAATTAGCTAGTGAGGGGGAAAGGAAAAAAATAGATCATTTGCTCTGACTAGCAAAGCTTTTAAAGCATTCAGAACAATGTAAATACTGAGACAGACAGAGACTGTACTCTACAGATGGGCATTGGGCACCTGCAACAAAATACGGTTACGACCCTACATACGAGTCTCTGTGAAGGGCCATTAGATTGGAGACAGCTCATTGTGTGCACATGTGTTTGGAGAAAAATGAGTCACTCCAAACTCTGGATCAAGCAGGTGATGTAAAGGATTGGCAGGAAGAATGATGCAGACAAAGGCCTGGCTTTCTGAAAAGCACTGACTCACGTCCTAGAAAAAAGCATTAAAAAAAGAAGGCAAAACTGGATGCATCGATACCAGCTGAGAGCTGTGAGCACGGACGAGCAACACAACCGCTCTGCTACATAGGACGCACACCTATATAAACCAAGGAGTCTATACTACACTATGTTTTGCAATAGCTTCTGCAGGGCTTTATGGTTGAAACTTCCTGTCTGTACCGTAGCAGTTTGTTTAAGAGCAATCTTTTCATAATTTCACTTGTCAAAGCTCAGGACAACGTAAAGCTTTTCTGGCAAGTATTTTAGGGAGGCAGAAAGTTGCACGTGGAGCTTAGAAACCTGGACGACAAATTCTTCACGGCAGAAACCTGGTGATAGGACTGAAAAGAAGATGTCTGCTGAAACGGAGAACCAGATTCACCATTTTTCCAATTTTTCTCTATCCTTCTTGGCAATATTTCTAAACTGATCTCAGTGCAAACGTAATCAGGAGACATGCCATTGCATTTGCAATATGAGAGACGGACCGTGTGACGTAATGGATCTTCTAGGACTAAAAAAACTATTAATACAGTAAACTCTTAATTCCCCTGCTATGTTTTACCTGGGTCGTAGAGCAGCAAGGAGACAAGTAAGGTTTGTCAGCTCGAGGCTGAGAGCCAGTCCTCCTGGATCTGGGCTGCCTTTGTACTGGACTGCCCAGGTATCCCTCCTGCTATCCTCCCCAGCACCGGTATTATGATGACATCCTGGGTCCCTTATATTTACTATGGGTGGTGGAGATCGAGACAGTTCAGTTTACTCAGTTAAGAGAACCCAGCTCACACTGTGACACCTTTAAAAGAGCTGGAAACCTCTGAGCTAGAATAGGGGGGGGCAGCCAACCCACTCTAGCTCCACCTTCTTGGGTATTGCAAGGAAGTTAGCTCCAGTTAGCCCTTCAGGGGACCAGCTTCCAAACAGAAGCAGATTCAGAAACTCGATTTCTGAGCTTAGGATCCCTCGGATGACACAGTAGATACCTACCTTTTAGGGCAAAGCCAGAAGAATCCTGCAGGGCAGCTCCTCTATTGTTTTACCAGCTTCTTTCCCT